AACATGTATTTCACTGTGCATGAATATTCTTACAGAAAGTAAGCACCCTCACATCGAAACTGAGGCCCAGTAAACACAACATCAGGTACTGCCTACTTGTGGGCTACATATATTAGGTCTGATTTTCAGAAGTGCTAGTACCCCAAACTCCAGCTGAAGTCAATGGGAGCTGTGAGTGTTCAGTCAGCACATGATTACATCGGGCTAAGGCCAACAGTAAAAAGAAGCTCTCAGAAACCAAAAATATCTTACAGATTTCTAGGATCCAAAATGAATCTTGTCTTTAGATCAAAGCTCAAATGTTATTTGCCTCTGAAGTTTTATAACACCATAATAGAATTAGTGGGGAAGGGTTTATGTATTTTTAAATAGTCTTCACATAGCACAAAAGCTGTTTTAAAGACTGGGAAAGACCTCTCTTAGACTAACTGGAAAGCTGTGTACACTATCTTTCACTAAAAAAAATAGTACGTCTTATTAAACTTACAAAAAGTTGCAAGCATCTGATTGGTAATGAAGCACAGAGCCCAGCTTGAAAAGTAACCTGAAATTTCCCTGGAGCTGAAGTTTAATGACCTTTGATTTTTAGAGGTGAAATGTGGTTTGAGATAAGTGTTAATTGCTTTCTTTCCAGTTTGAGAATTGTAGAGCTAGAAGAAAGCACCAGATTATTAGATATTTCATCTGCCATCTGCAGTAAAGGAGGGGCCACAGATAAGCATTTACTCAGGCTTTATTGTCATCATTTGTATAAAAGAAGGTGCCCATACTTCCTTTATTTCGGAGGAAGAAATGTAAGGGTCCAAGTATTTAGCAGAAACACTATTTTTTTAAAGCAGTTGCAAGTGTTACATCAATGAATTTAACTGCTTTCCTACATTTAGTCCATAATAGCCAGTAAAGTCTGTCTAAATATACATGAGTTAATAGAAAAAAATGGCCAGAAAGGAAGGAGTAATAGTTCTCAAGACCTGAAATTATTTCTCAGCTCCTCTGAAGGATGAGGTTATTGATTACTGCAGGTAAGCAGCTTCTGGTTTGCCAATACGCATCCCAACACATGGTGAATGAACTTTTAAAATCATCACCAGTTTTCTCCTCTCAAGCCAAGCAAATTAAAGGGTATGGCAGAGGTATGCATCTTTTCCAGCTCTGAAGTCTGCTATTTCAGACATGTTTGCTTTAATATGCAGTCTTTAATATGCATATCAACACTGGAAAGAATTTTAACTCCCCTCTGCCCTCCAAGTTTCCTATAGCTCAAACAAAACTTGAAGAGGTTCTGTTGAAATAAAAAAATATAAACGCACACAACTTTAGTCCTACAGGAAACTAACAGGCAACATTTCAACTCAGACAGGAACAGTTCCAGGCAGTCATGATTTGTGGAACAAAAGTAATTTAAATTTATTTTACAACCTCTGTGACCAATTCTGAAAACAAACACTTTCATGTATCTGTCGAACTAGCCAGGGTAATAAGAAGTATGCCAAGTGTTCACCAGATTGGACCATCTTGTGACACCTGCCATCAATCGCAGTTGCTACCAACACCAGTGTTAATAAATAAGATCAAATTGCCAACTCTCATGGAGTTATCACCCAGCTGGGTTTTTTGTATTTTTTCGGTAAAGTTGAGTTGGATGGCTTGTCATACCTTTTCTTAGGGTCCAAAAACCTGCTGTGTGTCTGTGTGTGTTTGAAATAAGCAGCTGATATACAATGATTGGGCTTTCATGAATGTGTGTGGTTTGTATATTTAAACAGAAGCGCTGCAACCTTATATGCTACAGACCATCTTAGCCCTACTGTTATGTAATTTAGAGTTACAGGCATGGATTGATTATGGTGAGCTGAACTAGTAACTCACCTGGCCACAAATCTAGCAGGTTGTCTATGTTCTAACTTCTACCAAGAGGATGAGCAAAGTGATTTGGCAGTCCAGTGGGCTAACCTGTGTCAAACTGTGGCAGCCCACACAATACATGTTTGAGTACTGTGCATAACTAAAAAGATAGATAGAAAACTGAACCAGTATTATCATCTTTCCCTTTTTCTTCCATCTCCCTTTATTTTCTTCTCTTTTTGTCTGAGCTCCATTGAAGTCTTGTCACTCTTACTCCTATTCCCGCTTCATTTTTGCCTCACTTCTGTTATTCCCCTTCCTTGCTGTTTTAATTGTTCTCTTTTCTTGTAAGTTCATGCCAGCCCTAAAAAAGAATGTCAGAGCCATGCCCTCTTCACTGAAGTGTTTTACCCAGAGACCTATTGCAAGTGAAATTGATTAGTTTTGCTGGACTCCAGTGAATTTAGCTCACAGCAGGAAAGTGAGAAAAAGCACCTCTGAATTTTACTGTGGGTAGATTCAGAGCAGTTGTGCAAAAATCAGATACCAGTGTTAGCTGTCCGGTTTCCTTAAGTAGAAAAGGGGTAAAAAAAAAAAAAAAAAAATCTTTCATCCACATGCATCTCAATGGTTAGGTTGCTGCTCTGGTTATTCCTGCACCACTGAAACGCGTGTAGCAAAACTGGCCTATTACTTTTGGAAGCAGCAATAATGATAAATTGTTACTGTATCTAGGGTACATGTTTCACTTTAAACATTATTTCAATGTAATGCTTGTACCTTTAAGAGAAAAGACTGCTTTCTGGCTAAGCACAGTATGAGGGGATAGATCCCAACTACTACCAATGACTGAGACCCTGGGATCACACCTGCATAACTCACTGGACTGATGAGACTCTTTATTCACTAACATTTATAAAACATTCTGAGGGGAATCACTATAGAAGTGTCAAATTCATACTCAACTAGACCTCTTAAATAATTACCCCATAAGCTTTATAAAAGCACAACTATTATCCTAGTTTTCAAGGACGGTAAACAGCTTGATTATCTGAATAATTAAAGGAACATACTTTTGAATATATTTCATATCAAAATACCTGACTACTTGCACTTTGATTAGGTGCACCACTTTATATTAAGGAATATCTTCATAGGAGTGATACATGGAGATTTGTACTGGCATATATAAAACCTTTCCATAGATGCTGCAGATAACTACTAACTGAGATTACGGAAATACTAAACTAGATTATTATACTATACCATTGTTTTACTGTAGGAATCTTAAACGCATAATGGAAGGAGGTCTTGTGCATTATCAAATCGGGATATGATCACTGTACTTGTGTATCAACATGCTGAACTGCAGAAGCTGCTTTAAATCTATTGATAATCACAGAGAGTCTGATAGCTACCTATGGAAGAGGAAACCTTAATAGAGATTACGTTATTACATACAGATTAGCTTTGCATAATTTTATTTTAACGAGTGCTGGCACTTGCTTATAAAACAAAACAACCCAAAAACTTTAGGAGAATGGTTTAAATGGGGTGTGGTGGAGGCCAACTGCCCTATCAACAAGGTATATAGCAGTGTGCAGTTTTGACTAAAGAGCATTTTCAACATGTGGAAATTACATAAACTTGCACTAAGGATCTTAGAAAACTCAATCAAATACCACTCAGTCCTAGAAAGTCCACGTAATGAATATTTCCAGGGCATTAAAAGCTGCAGCAAGGCTAACATATTCCAAGAGCAGGTGTGTCACAGTGGTACTTGAGAGTCTGATTTTGAAAGTAAAAGACAGGTATGGCTTATGAGGTTGTGTCTCCAGAACTGTGCTGCTGATCAGAAGCTCCAAGAGTTACACACGAAGTTCTTCACAATGAAATTCTGACAACACGAAGGAGTTTAATATGTGAAAATAGGTCTCCACAATGGTATCAGGACTGCTCCTGGCTGAACATTACCCAATTCTTTCACTTTAAAACTTGGACAAAGAGTCTATTTTTAAAATAGTGAATTGGTTCCCAAATTTAGCTTCAACGTTGCCATGTGTTTCACATTTCCACAGGAAGAAAAATTTATTACATTGCCTAAATGGATAGTTTGATTGCATAAAGAGGTATTAAAACACAATTATCAAAACCCCACAACAATGTAGCAACTTTTTATTCACCCTGTAGTAACTTTACAATTTCACTAGCCAGATCATAAATCTTACTAACCAGCCTCCTATAAATCTAGATGGCCAAACTTTAAAAGAGGTTGACCACGTAACTTCTCTTCTGATTCACTTGCGGGGTTTTGTTTTGGTTTGGTTTTTTTGAGAAGTTAATTTTCCAGGTTTCAGCAAACTGTTCTAAAGACACTTTGCCTTCTGCTTACTACAGACCTCACATTCTAATCTTGGTGGTATCTGTACAACCTTACCCTCTGCATGTAAAAGAACTATTAATTCCTCTTCCTTGCATCAAAAACTGGGAGGGGGGAGGCATTATTCATGGTCATCATCATATGATTCTACTCCACTGAGTAGACTGAGAAAAATATATCACCAGCCAGCTTATCTCTGTTATTCTTCTGATGTGCAAGTTGGCTCCAATGCCAATCTAATAACATCTTCAGTGCCCATGGAGATGGAAAGCATTACATTTGCCCCATTCTTCAAACAGTAGGAGCCATTGTTCCAGCCTTAACTGTCTCTGAACATTGGCTCAGTTAAAACAACATGTCTTTAATTAACAGCGAGTCGTGACAAACCATTTTATGCCAACATGCCTATCTTAAATAGCACAAAAATCAACTATTTCTCTGTGGACAGCTTACTACAATGAAAGGGAAAAGTGGCCACTTCTGCACTAATCCTGCAACTCTACACAGGGAGTTTTAACTATATTAACTCTGAAGTCATTATTTTGAATCTACTTCAGCTATGAAACAGGGAAAGAAAATTTGTGGTTTCTTTCATGTATGTATTTATTTTCTAGTACATAACTACCATAACATAATGGTAAAATGTCCTCATGAAACTACGGAAATCTAGATGTATCATAAATGTCACTAAAGTACCTAACCAAAATATCATAGCAAATGCACTATCCACATAATGAATCAAGGCACATACACAATAAAAGTAAACTGTACTTACAATCTGGTTAACTTCAGCGTGTTCTGGAAAAGCAGCTCGGGTAAAACCTGTAATTTATTCTTGTTCAGACGCCTAAATAAATAAAGAGAATACAGTTAACGCAAAAAATGCATTAGAATAATTTTCATACTCAGGAGCCTATTCCATCTTCCACAACACATTGAACTCCCATTAAAGGATGTGAAAAGCCATGGTATTAAACTAGTATAGAATGTAGGAGCCTTTGTGTACATTATTAATACACAGGGTCAGTACATCATGCCATGTGTAGACCACCTGGCCAGCTCCTTGAAAAAAAAGATAGAGAAAGCAAATATTAAGTCAGAATGCTATAGTGTGTATGAGTGTATCTGCATGCTAGAGTTGTATTGGATGCTTACTAACATACAAATCGCATGGCTCCCATGTTGAGTTTTCAGTGCTTTGAAGATATTTGCAGAAGGTATCTGGTTTTCATCTTTCTTTCTAAACATGTAGGCAACAATAAGTTAAATATCCCAACCATCCTGGAATTATTTCCAGATTGCCTATTGGGTCTACTGTACATGGTCACGTTAATTTTTGTTTTAAAAAATTGTATATTAAACATTAACTTTGGAAATCTGAGCACTATTGTGAAAAGTATGAAAACACACTTTTAATGGGATTACTGCATCCTTGCAAAGGCTTCTGTGATTGGAAATGCAACCTATTTTACTTAAAGTATCTCCTAAAATTACTTTTTGGGGACCTGTTTTAATATTTATTTGCGAGTTAATTTTAATATATTAATTTGACCAACTTTTGCACTAACTCACTAACACATCCTGCTAGCTGGAAAAAGTTTATTGCCCATCCTGCCCTCCATCAACTACAAAAGTATCTATCATCCCGAAGTAAAAATTATCTTTATAACAGTCATGCAAAACTGAAATCATCTTAATGTAGACAAAGCAACCCACTTTAGAAACACAAGTTAAATACTGCAATGTACAGCAGAAACAGACATCTGTTCATTCACAAGCTCAGTAAATGTTGCTTAAATGTAACAATTGACCTGAACTCACAGAAAAGACATTCAAAGCTAAAACTAAATATCTGGCTCCAGTCTCCCACAGAATAGTTCTGTTTTGTGTATCTCTATAGCTTAAAAAAACAACACGCAGCATTTGGCTAATCTGCCCTGAATGTTTATAACAGTAGTAATGAGTCTGGTTCCATGATATGATGGTGGTTACTAGGGTTCTGCTCCCAAAAGCCACATGGGCTCTTTAAGAGAAATACTGATGCTTAGCCTCCAATTCCTGGTTTCTAATTTTCTTGGATGCTGAGTACTTCATTTCATTTTCCATGCCTTTCTGGATTTATTCACATTACAGGCCTCCACCATTTTGGCCTGAAAGCTCTTCCTTAGGGATCAGTCTAAGGTCACTGGGACTGGAAGGCTGGAGTTTTCATATGGCTACCATATGAATAAATCCAGCAACAATGGAAAAAGGCAAGCATATATGTTCTTCTCTTCCTGATATCAAGAACAGACAAGGTTGGGTTTGGAAGATTTGCATACAGTCAGACATACTCAAAATTAAGGACATACCTAATGCAAACAAGTTATAAAATTGGTTCACCTTCCAGTACATTTCAGTAACAAATACCCAAGTTAGTTTTCTAGGCAAGTACATTTAATGACTAAACACAGCAATAAATGAAAGACTATCAAAAGCCACAGAACAGGTTTAGTCAGCAGATGGGGGATTCTAAGTCTGAAAATGACTAGCAGAATGAACTATACGGAAAGCAATTATTTTTTGATAGCACATAGCCAAACAGGGTGTGGATAGTTTCTGTCACTTCTAGCATTAACTAGCTTTGACTAACTTAACCATCAAGTTGTTCTTGTTTTGCTGAAGTTGAAGTGAAATCTGTGTAGACCACATCTAAAAGAAGTTATATAAGGTACCTAATGAAAAAATACTCTAAAATACATTATCTGGTAGATAAATTAAGATTCATGCAGATTTCAAGCTGAGATGCTGTTATCTGCAACTATCCAAGAGCTCATAGCATTTTTCTTAATAGTAGTTTGACCTGGCCAGTTTTGGGACCAATCTTCCTCATCCTTCTGCTCTTTTTATACCTACTGGTTAATAACCGCCCTCACCTTCCACCCCCAGAGATCGAATCATTGCAGTGGTGCGATTTTCACTTTTGGTTCCTTTGTGTGGAAAGGCGTTGACAATGCCACATTTCATACCACAAATACGTATCCATGCTAGTTATTACATCTGTCAGTTAACAGAAGAAGAAAACCTAAGTATCTTAATACCTTTGAGGGCATTTTGCATACCTTTCTAATTTCCTTTAGATAGATTTGTCATCATGGGTGCTTCTTCCGGGACCAGCACTTCGACACCACTATTTTAACTTTATCAATGATTATACTATTTACCAAAGGCAATTCTATGGAAAGAACATCACTGTAAGGAAGTTGGTTTTTGGAATATGCTGATTGACTGATACTTTATGTAGTCAAGACTCTGGTAACTTTCGGCTCACTTCCATCTGTTTTTACTCAATGTGATGTTCCACCCCATAATGCTTTATAGAAATATGCTTATGAGTGTAAATATGACATAACTTGAATACGTTTTATGCTAGATATGCCATGTAACATATCTTTGCAAAGGTTATGATCTACTGAATATATTCATGCTATTTGTATGCATGTATCATTTTTATATCTGAAGTTATGAACATTGGCTCTACACTTGTATTTAAAATGTTTGCTGTAGGAAGTATATAAGACAGATTTGGTAAACATAGTGGGAAAGGGTTATTCAAGTAATTGGGAGTACTTAACTAACAATGGACTTTGGGAGACGCCAATCCACATCTGAGCTTTCCTGGGAACGTTCAAACTAACACGTAAACAATGGCGTTGGCCTGCAAAAAGCTGAATCATTCATAGACATGTGAGTAAGAGGATGATGAAGCACTGGAATGGGTTACCTAGGGAGGTGCTGGAATCTCCATCCTTAGAGGTTTTTAAGGTCAGGCTTGTCAAAGCCCTGGCTGGGATGATTAAGTTGGGGTTGGTCCTGCTTTGAGCAGGGGGTTGGACTAGATGACTTCCTGAGGTCTCTTCCAACCCTAATCTTCTATGATTCTATGATAAAGTTAAACAGACAGGTCCAATGTGCATTGTTGCTGACAAATGACTATGGTGGGCAGTCTTTTCTGACATTGACAAGCATTTGAAACAATACTGTTTAAGGAACATATGTCATTTTCGCAAAAAGTTACACCACAATGTACTGCTGTAACTTGGCTACCCACCTATATATGTCCATTTAGTATGTTTTTACTCCTACTAATTCAAGAACAAGACTAGAACCCAGAAACCTCAACTTTCCATAGTGAATCTTCCTACTTTGCTACTGCATAGGTCCCTGCCTTCCAGAAACTGTTTAGTAATCTATTATTCCCTTTTGAACAGGACTAGGGATTTCTTTAATAATTGTTTCTGGGTTTTAACTACCTGAAATTTACTGTAACCAAAATATATTTAGGTCTAGGTTGCAACAATCTGGATGCATATCTCAGAGCCAAACTGAAAATCTCAGCCTTCTGACGTTTCAACTACAGTTGCACAAATTTCTTCTCTTTTCCACGCTTCAGTAGTCTATATTCTGTTAGCAACCCTTCAGACTGAAATGTTTACTAGCCATTTTTCCTTTCATTTCATTAAAAAGGTTAATATCTTTAAATTCAGAGTCAATTTGCATCTCTCTCTCACTGTGTTCTCTCCTCTGACTTTAATATCTGGGAGCTAACATGAAGGCTTTCAATGGAGGGTCCTCCACTCAACTTCATTCAGTGGGGTACAGTGTATGATCAGTCTATTTACTTAGCTTCTGAGGACAGTGGGACTGATTGAGCCACATACTGAGCTTTTTTCATGAACTCTGTCTCAATATTTATGTGAATTCGAATATATCATTGCTGCTGATAATGGTTAAAGAATGGTGTTTTGTTATAAATGTTTCTTCTATCTAAAACATTGCTAGATTTTACTTGAGTTTTAAGGAAGTACAAGAGTACATGAAAAATGTAGTTTGTGCAAAAATCCTCAGATTAGCAACTCCAGGGACTGGAGTACTGTTTATCCCTGGAACAGTCAAAGCAAGGGTAATAGAAGCACAGCCTTCCCAAAATTGCTCCACCAACATGCTTCAGCTCTGATTTTGAGTGACAACTGCTAGGAATCAGAGGAAATTTATCCTGCAGCTCCATTCCTTTCAGCTTCTGTTCAGAAACTTAGGGTTACCATACGTCCGGTTTTTCCCGGACATGTCCGGCTTTTTGGTAATCAAACCCCCGTCCGGGGGGAATTGCCAAAAAGCCGAACATGTCCGGGAAAAATACCGGCCAGGCACTTCCCCTCCCGGGCTCCAGCTGCTCTGCTCCTCCCCTGACTC